AAAAGAATTAAAAAAAAAAAACCCAAAAAAAAAAAAAAAAAAAAAAAAAAAAGAGGAAAATTTTTTTTGTACATGCCGTCATCCGACTAAGTTACAATAAAGAGTAAAAAAATAATGATACAAATAACACTTTTGATATGATATACAAAAAAACCCATTTAAACTAAATTAACCAATTAAAAAACTGCACCATCGAATTTTTCTACACACTACTGGTAGCCTCAAGGCCTTTTCTTTGTTCATCGACCAGGTAGGGCACATTTTCAGGACTTGATTCTTGGTGTGGTTGAGATGTCGCTTGATATTGTTCTTCAGAGTTACGATAATAATGTTGTGCTTGTTGATATTGCGAAATTACTGCATTACCAGAATTATTAGGATAAAATTGATGAGCATGGGCTGAAGGATAATGATGCTGAGTAACAGGAGTCTAAAATATGAAAAAACAAACAAAATCCATTAGGTAATGTGATATTTAAGGAACCATTTTATTGAAATAACCATCCTGTTTGATACTTGGATGACTATATTTACCCATATTACCTCCACATATTGTTGTTCCAAAGGCATCACTGATGAAACACCTGTTGATTGAGGTGGCTGTATACGACTGACTCCTGATGAATCTTTGGGAACAGGTGTTGTCCATGCTTGTTGAGCAGGAATGTATCCTGGAGCTGAAGTTCCAGTGCCAAATGGAGGCACTATCATATGTTGGGGATGCCAGTAACTAGGTGGTGGAAAGAATGTTGGTTGAGCGCTTTGAATTAAGTTTGGATCCACTATTGGTTGCAAAGTAGTTTGAACCGATGATGATGCACCACTTTGAGAGGAAAATGATTCTCTCCTGAAGGCAATGCAATAAAAAGTTTTAAGAATTAATAATGCTTTGGAAAATTTATTAAATTTTATATACCAAGTTTGTTCTTACCGATCTTTAGTGTCACTATCAACACTTTGATTATCGAGATTCAACGGTTGGGTTAATAGAGGACCATTGATAGGCATATATTGTGCTGGAACCGTCGAAGGTGGTGTCTTGTGGAATTCTGTAATTAAACGCTCACCGACAATCGGTTCAACTTCAGTACCATCTCGGCTAATTTTCACTTCTCTATTTGCATTCCAAGGGTTACGAAGATGACGTGTACGCATGAATGGAAGTTTTTGCCTATTTACGCGTAAGAACAAAACAAGATGATGATATAGACGTGTATTTTGCGAGAAAAGATTGATTACTGTGAAAAAGTACTCACACTTTAATCCATTCAACTTTAAAAGTATTTCCTCAATTTCTCGATGGAATATTATCATCATCACAATCTTCATTCTCTTCATCTTGAGACTTTTTTAATCTCGTTTTTATATCTTCCTGGACTGATGAAGGTCGTGATGATGAAGCTGCTAAAGCCGCTTCATCAATTGGCGTCCATTGTACATTTTCTGTTGTCTCTTTGCTAATTGGACTCACCATCCTATAAATCAATGGATTAAATATAGAACAAATTTATAATTTACAAATTCATTCAAGAATGTTGTTAATTCTCACTTTGCGTAACCATAAAATTCGCCGCTTTTATTGGCGCTGAAAATAAGAAACACGTTTTCAGCACTCTGCGAAAATGAACGTAGAGATAATCAGTAGGTTTTTAAGTAGTTATAGGCACCATATATAAAGTCAATAAAAAAAATATGAAGATTTTACTTTAAAAGCCTTGTTCAATGCTGCTTCATTGTGCGGTTGAGTGGCCCAAAAACTACTTTTAACAGAAATATCTAGATCATCTTGGGTCAACGATTTTAGAATGAAATATCTATTAACTGATGAAGGTTTTGCAGATGAAACTGACGAAGCAGGAGACATCGAAGCAACTGAAGACTGTCTGATTCGTTGTCGCGGAGGTAATGATGACCTTCGTGATCTAGAAGAAGCTGTAGAACCTGCTTCAGAAGGAGTGGGAGGAGGAGTATGATCTGAAGTCAAATCTGAAGAAGTTTCTGATTTTAACTTTAGATCTGCGGGAGTTTGCTAAGATCATCAGAAAATAAATGATATAGCATCATTATTATAAAGATAACTAATATAAAGTTAAAATATAAATCGTTATGAAATTACCTTTCTTGGCCGACAAACAAGTTTAATGCCTTTGAAATCTAAAAGAACAAACGTATATAATGAAAAAATATTCAGCACATTTAGGAAATAGCTTAGATAATCACATACCTTTTTCATTATATTTACTAGCGGCCTGCATGACAGCTTCATGCGTCTTGTAATTCACAAATGCACAGTTCGACTTTTTGATAAGAAACACACTCTAAATATAAACGTAATAACGTGATTAATTATAATAAGATCTATAATAATAATAAATAATAATGATAAATAATGATAATAAATCATAATAATAATAAATCATAATAATAATAATAATAATAATAATAATAATAATAATAGTAGTAGTAATAACTAACTAAATAGATAAATAAATAATAAATAATAATGATATACAGTATAATAATAATATATGATAATAATATACATATAATAAGAATATATTATAATAAGAATATATGATAATAATATGTGATAATAATATCTAAAAATAATATCTACTAATAATGATAATGATAATAATAATATTAATAATAATAACCTCCATGTTTTCATCTGTGAAAAGTTCTACCAATTCTTCATGAGTAGTAGAATCCGGTAAATTTCCGACCCAAAGGGCCTTATCCAACTGTTTGGGTTTCTTTTGTTGATTCATTCTTGGAGTGTGTTGTGGACCTAAATCAGGAGTTCTGACCTGATCTAAAGAGCTTCTTCGGGATGAAAAACCAGAATCACCACCCGCAGTACTAGAAGGGCTAAAATATCTCACAGGAATTGATGGTGGAACTAAATGGGGGTTCTGAAAAGATGGATGAATAGGAGGTATAACGGATATTGGGTGATAAGGATAAATATTCGATCTGACGAAATGTTGAGCAGATGGTGGTGGTATTTGTGGAGGACGACCAAATCTGTACTGAGGATCATAGTAACATTGTCCATTGTTAGAAAAAAAAGCAGGAGTAAAATAATGTGGTGAAACTGGTATGAAGGGAGTGTTGGCATTCAAATTTGGATACATCTGAGGCATTTCGTCGTATGCTGGCCCGGTACCATTAGAACAGGGATTGTTAGAATTGTTGGGGACGGTGGTCGTATTGGAACCAGCGATAGGAGCGGAAGATGAGGGCGCGGGAATACTGATGTTTTGTTGTGGTCAGGTTAATTAAATAACTAAATAGGGATGAATTATGGTGTCTATATATAGCAGAACGAGATTGGGTTTCAACAACCTGTGAGAATTACCGTTGACACTCTGCTTCCGAATTCCATTTTCTTGATCATATTCAGTAACGCCATTATTAACATTACTGCTACCAACGATGTTCTTTGAGCCACCCAATGGGATGTCATCCGCATCAGGAACAATGTTGGTCGTAGTAATGTCTTTCTCTGACACGCCTTGATAAGCATTTATAGGAATTGAAATGTCTTTATCCATTTTCTCACGCTGACGTCTAACTACGTTCGCCTTTATCTCCTGGCTCGAATCAGCTGTCGAGCTAGGTTCGTTTTGTGATTGTTGTCCCTGAAAACTTGAATGAGTCGAAGACGCGGTCTTTTTGGGAGCAGTTGAATTTGTGGGTATATTTTCTCGCGACTCCTTAGTTGTTGTTGTCGACGCTGTCTGTTGTGATTGAACTTCAGTCAACTCCTCTCTAGACATGATATACTGTAGGGTCGTAGCGTGAAAGTAACACTTTTGAATATTTTAATAATTATCCGTTTTTTTTCGATATAATGATTATTTACCTTTTTAATACTTATAAACACGAACAAATAAAAAGAACACGACTTTTTGTCTATACAAAATCAATAAACGGCACTCTGACTTCCGAAATTATAAAACAAAAAATTATACAAAGTAAAAAAAAATATTTACAGAAAAAAAAAAAAAGGAATTCAAAAGAAGATAGGACAAGCTTTGTTTTTAGCTTGATACCAGGTTGGCCAGACTGAACTAAAGAAAAAAAAATACAAAAAGAAAATCAAGAAACAGTTTAGAAGAGGCCAACGATAAATTTTTTTTTTCCTTGTAATGAATGAGTAGGGTACGGGCTAGCCGGATTGCTGGCCTAAGACAAATATCATAAAGAAAAGAAAAGGAAAAAATTTTTATTTGTGTTCAAGTTGGAAGTTCATTCAACGGTTGATATACAGCAGACACACAATAGACGTATGTGCGTTAACTTTATTTATAACAGTAGTCACTCTGTCTCACCTGCTTTGTATATTCTCAATTGTAAAATAATATACAATTTTATTAATCACTCACCACCTTTTATTTCTCACTCCGCGTTCATATACCGCCGAACTTCAGCAATCGCTTACTTACTTACCCATCAATTTATTACATACGTATGTATGTATGTAACAGAGACTATCTTATTATATAAACCTTGACAGACAGCAGCTTAATTAATCATGGGCCAGATTATAATATCTCCGCAAATCAAATGAACTCAGAAATAATTTCTTTAAAAAGGGTTTTTATTTTGTAACTTTGCATGAAAATAATAATATTATTTCTTTTTTTTACTATCGTTGGACCGAAGCAAAAAATATTTGAATCACAATTAAAGAGATACAAATGCATAATAAATGGGTAGATCCTTAGTAAAGATACATTTCACCTCTCATCATCAATTCGCTTCTCTTCTCACCATAAAAATTCCCCATTTGTTCATGCTGATCGGTTTATTCTGCTTTGAAATATTCAAACATTTTGACACATCTCCTGTTGTCAATAGTATGTACACAAACATAAAACCTTGTGCCAGTTTTTTTTTTTCTTTCTGTTTGTTGCTACTTCTTTTGCATGAAAACATTTATAAACCAAGTTTCACCAAACATTTCTTTATTCGAAAGATTAACAAAGAAATCATGTGATCTATGCATGACATAATTAAATTTTTTTATTAATTGTCCGGAGCGGAGAAACCCAAATTTGCGTTTTTGATGCATTCGAATGCTAAAATTACTTTTTTGATGCACTAGTGTAATTATTATAAAAAAGCGTCAAAAACGTAATTTGTATGTCTGCACGCGTGTCTATATTTGTACTTTAGTGTAATATAAAATATGTTCGCGCTTGAGTAACGCGATTATTATACGATACTCAATATTACCATATAAGCACGAAATAACGCCCAGTGGCGTTATTTCGGATCACGGCCTGCATTAAGCTAGTCGGGGCCGTAATTCGAAATTATACCCCTGATAATTATTTCGCGTTTATGTGCAGAGTTGTAAAATTTACAAATAAGAGTCTAAAAATAAAATTAATTTGGTTTTGGTTTTAAGAGTTAATAATTTTGTAACCACGGCTACTGTAACCGTAACTAAGATCAGGTGTAACGTGAAATTAAAACAAAAACTTTGTTTATTTTAACAAAAAAAATTTCTTGCTAAATTTTGATATAATTTATACTTTTCTTAACCCAAGCCTTACTTTAACTCTAACCTTAACTATGAAGTTTTATTTTTATAAAAAAATTGTTTTGATAGTCATATTACACCTGATTTTAGTTATAATTACAGTAATCTATAGTTACAAATTCATTAATTTTTTTTTAATTTGATTATATCTTGTCACTGTTTATTGAGATTTAAACTATTCAAAAAATTACAAGAATTTTTATCTATAGCTATTAACTATCTAATTTAACAGATAATTTATATAGCTTATAAAACCCAGATATAATTTTTTCAGTAGTTTTGATCTTTCTAATAGTACTCCTATTAGATCTGATCAGATCAAACTTTTAGTCAAGTTTGGGTTTAATTTGATTTTTAAACCAAACTTAAACTTAATTTTTTTTTAAAATTAAGTTCAGTTTGGTTTGGTTTTAAACTTTTTAGTTAAGTTTGGGATTTTGTTTTTAAATTTTTAAAAAGTTTTAAGTTTAAAATATATATATATTTTTATATACTAAACAAGTTTACTTATTATGTCAAAGTATTATTTATTTAGTATTTTGTATAATTTTATTAATAAAATTATGCAAAATACTAAATTACTCAAAATTTTACTAATTAATAGAGTTTTAGTATTATAAGTGAACTTGTTTAATATATAAAAATATATTATAACAATATATTTAATTTTATTTTTTTTATTTTTGAAGAGAAGATATTTAATTTTAAAATTTTTAATCAAAATTTTTAAAATTAAATATATTCTTTTCAAAAATAAAAAAAGATAAAATTAAATAAAAAAATCTAATCTTACATGTAGTATATATATACGGGTATTAATTAATTAATTTGCAAATTTGTATAATATACAAATCAAAATAATTTCAATAGAACAAAAAGTTAGATATTGTCTAAGGTTAGGGTAAGGGTAGATTTGGATATGAGTAGGAAAATAGTTTATACCAAAATTTCACAAAGAATTTTTTTTGTTAGAAGCTAAATATTGGTTTTATAATCAAAATTTTGAGATATCGGTATATACTTATGTACAAATACCTGTGTACAATTAGAAATTGCTAATTAAATTTATCATTATAATGTATTTTATATGCTAAACAAGTTTATTTATAATACTAAAACACTATTTATTAATAATATTTTAAGTAATTTAGCATTTTGTATAATTTTATTAGTTTTTTTTCACTTTGACTATCTTGTCAAGATTTTTTTATTAATGATCTCAGACACTAGATAAAGTGAATAATAGCTGCTAATATTTGAATTTAACATCTTACAGTTACTTCAACACGTTAGCTATATGAAAGCACTTATATGTAGAATTCTGTATTTGATTTGATTTGATTTGATTTGATTCAAATATTTAATTTCAAATCAAATTTAAATATCGATTTTCAAATCAAATCAAATTCAAATTGAAAGATCAAATATTTGATTTGATTTGAAATTATTTATAAATAGTTAAAATTTGAAGAGTTATAGTTTTAAAGACTATTTTCTCAAAATTTTATTAAGATAATTACTAATTTGGTTCTATGAAACTAGTATTATTTTGATTAGAAAAATATTTTTTATTTAATATACAAAATTAATTTATTTAATAAAATTTTAAAAATCGAAGATTATAAATGCTAAAATTTAAAAGTTATAGTTTTAGAGGCTATTTTTTTTTTTCTTTTTTCTGGCGATCCTGCTTTTATTACATATCCACTGATTTGATTTTTTTGTTTATTTTAATACACTCCAAAAATATAGTTATACAACATGCAATATGCATCAGCTAGTTGACACCAATAAAATTTAGAGCATGTGATTTGATATATCGATATATCTAGGGTGTGCTTTAATTTTGATTGGTCAATCACTAAATATATCATCACATATTACACCACATAAGGTAACGGGAGGTATAATGGCGCACCTAAGAACAACTGATAATAAAATTTTCCAAGAGAGAGTTTATTACTTACAAAATTTATAAACTTGTCCTTCTACTAATGTACTTTAATTAAATTTAAAAAAAAAAATGCTTTTGGTAATAAAATTTATGTTCTTTTATTACACGATTAAAAT